GGAATACAATTCGACACGAACCTGGTACGTCACAGAACTGAACATGTGCCGCGCGCGGCCTTCAGGCAGTTGGCGCGGACTCCTGGCTTCTTCAGGAGTGATCAGTTCGACCAAAGAACTGAACGTGTGCCGCGCGCGGCCTTCAGGCAGTTGGCGCGGACTCCTGGCTTCTTCAGGAGTGATCAGTTCGACCACAGAACTGTCGGGCAGCATTTGAGCGTAACTCAATACAGTTCAGTCCGGGACAGATGAGAATCTGGAGAGACTCAGGGTCGATTCCTGGATCTGATTGCCTCGCTTGAATCATGTAGCACGTACTCACTTAACTTCTGATGCGCCAGTCTTGACGAGGGCACGCCGCAAATCTACTTATGGCAGCTACGAATATTAGGAATATCAGAAAATTTCCGAACACAATATGACTATTTAGGATTTGAGGTTCTCACATCGGTGTGACATGACGCAGTGTAGTCCATTGAAAGCCAAACCGACGTTCCGGAGGAACATGTCGCCTCCATCTTCAGGGTCGAAGTATAAGCCAAGCAAGAAACAAGCTGCTTGCCACCTGCTTCCACCCTGGTTTCTTGCTTGGCTTATACTTCGACCCTGAAGATGAATATGAAATGTTCCTCCGCAACGTCGGTTTGACTTTCAACGGACTACACGGCGTTATATCCCAGAAGACATATCTCTTCATAATGAGACCAGATCAAGGAGGAAGAGATGAGCGGAGCCATGTAGCACGCAGGAAAGTGATGAGAAATGCACACAGAACCATGAATATTAGGAGGGACTAAATCTTTCCGATGTCCTGTCCGAGATTCGAATCAAATTTTAATATTATTACGCTATTTAACGATGATGTATTAGGTAGTCAGGTGGTCAAACACTGAGCGGGTTTGTCTAGCAGCAACGCTCTAGACTTGCATTTGGGAGGTGCTAGGTTTGAGTCCCCGTCGGGACACTGGCTGTCTTGACTGACGTTCTACATGGATTTCCTCTGTCACTGCAGGCAAATTCCAGAGTAATGCTTCGATTAGTACACAGTCGTTTCCTTCCGAACCCTCTCCAATTCATCATCCATCCTATAATTCGACACTGTATCTGAAAATTGTAGCTGCAGAGGTTACGTGACACAGGAAAATGCGAAGTTGTCCCTTTGCTTCGTTAATTATGACGTATGGGGGAGTGTATGTATAGATATAACACTCTTGACGTCAGCACGAGATGGAGGTAAGTGGTCAGCTTCGCGGCCCGGCCGCTTTATCCGCGGTATCCGTTCAGCCCGTAGCCCGTCGCTATTTGGCACAGAATTGAATTAAATGAAGATTATGTACGAGGAGCGCGGATCACAGTGGCCGGCCTCGCGGTATGAGGCATGAATTGTCTTCGCTCGCTCGGAAGCTGGGACCGTGGGTTCGGATCTGTTTCCTGTGAGGTACGAACTGAATTCTTATATATTATTCTTATGCACTACCGGTCACAGTAGCTGCACGGTCTAAGGCATGAACTGGCTTCGCTCGTTCGAACACTGGGATCGTGGGTTCCATTCTCACTTGGGACAAGGATGTCTGTGTGCCTTGCGACGGGCTGATCCCCCGTCCAAGGAGTCCTTCCGCCTGTGTATAGGATTAAGAAACTGACAAAGCAGCCAAGTTCCAACACAAGGACTACAGAGCCTGAGGCGGAAAAGATAGGGCAGAAAACGGTGGAGGTTTACGGCATGGCAGCTCTGATATTCGGGCATTTGTCTAAACAACTGAGAAAGTGTCGGTCAGTGGACAGTACTCTGACGTCGGACATGCGCACCAGGGGCCAGAAACCAATTACACGTAATCATACTGCGTCAGTAGACTCTGTGACCTGAGAGGCTGAAGAACAATTAGTACAGGAGACATGGGGAAACCCGATGTTAATTGCTTTTGTATACACAGTCGTTATAATCAAATCAATAGCAATTACGTCGGGGCAGATTACGTGTGTCCCTGCTCACGGTGACATTAATATCGGGCCCAAACCGGCGCAGGCACTGTCACGCAGGAGTTCAGTTATCTATATAGCCTTCGCCCGTCAAGGCTGTAGTTGTGTTAATGAGCCGGGGTTGTTCGTCGAAAGTTTCCAAGTATGGTTGAAATCGGTCAGCAGTGACAGACACTGCACATGAAGACCTACACAGGTTTCAGCACAATTTAACTCGCATGTAAGTCATTAAGTGTTTTCCGGAGCAAAAACTGTTTCGAAACAAACGTTATAGAGGCCGTCCTTTACCCCCCAGGAAGTTTCCTGGTACTCATTTCTGTTAGAAGCCGAGTCGACCCCAAGGGCATAGTGCGGCAAGAAGGATTAGGTCAATTGAAAAAAAAAATAATGATCTCAACGGTAATCGAACCCGCGACCTCCCGGAACGTTGTAGGGACAAATGAAAAATAAGTTCTATGTACAATATTCTTTATTTGCAAGTCTTAACGGAACCGTTGTAGTGGCTCTGAGCAAATCTTGTGCAGGAAGGGCTCCAGAACTCTCACCCTATGCGTGCTCTGTCAGCACTGCTGGCTTCCAGGTTCTCATCCAGCTGACTATGGGACATGGCGACGTGCAGTCCAATGAAAGCTCACTGACGTTTCGGAGGAAAGTACTGCCTCCATCCTCACTCGAAGGGTAATCCAAGCAAAGAACCAACAAGCATTATCCAGCACACAAATGTCGGCGAACTTCTACCAGACGGCATGGCGTCAGCCCCCAGAAAATAATACCACTGTCTTCCAAACAAAATTGTAATTACGACCCGGACCGGTGAGGTAACAATGTGTTTGGGTCCAGGCTGTGTTCTTACAACTGTCCTCTGGAGTGCGCGTGGGAAGTACGGCAAGAAATAGTGGGGTAGTGGTTGCAGCTGCGTTGTTGGAGAGTGGGAATGTGACAGACTGTAAGTTGGGCCATCTTATAACCCATACACATCCTGAAGTTCTTATCGCAGTCACTGGACTGGCCCAAATCCACTGCGCAGTATGTTGCGAACGGCCAGGTGTAAATAGACGGACTGTGCATACGTGTAACTGAGCGGTATGCGGGGTCCATGGGCGTGCTTGGGCCACACGGTATGATCGCATGTGTGTGCGTTGTTCTGTTTGCTCAGCTCAACAAACTCGCTTATTCGCTAATCACAACATTGAAACAGCAGCGCAATGTACAGGACGTTCATAAAATATCTTGCCCATTTTAGAAACACAGTAGGAGGAGAACCACTGTTGATGAAAAAGACTGGAAAGTGCATACTCGGTAACGCAATAAGAAATAAGCAGCGGTATTACTATCTGAAGTTAGTGACTTCACTTAAAATGTCAATAAATGTAAACTTATTCCTGGGCATAATTAACGTCACACCATGAACATGTATGGAGGACCGGAGGCATAGTTCCACCATTCTTATCCTCGACACTAGATGGGGGTGAGTGGTCGAATTCACGCCCCGGCCGCTTTACCCCTGGGGGATAGAGGCCCCAGTACCCATTCGATAGGAGGCTGGTTGGGCCCCAGAGCCAGTCTGGACGTTATAGATAACAGAAAGATATCTTGCCGCTACCGGGAATCGAATCCAGACTAGTCGGTCGACCAGCGCATAACCTATCCGATATACTGAAACCCCGCAAAAACGATAAAGCTATCCCTGTAACAGGCTGTGGAGACCCATAGGGTTGTGAGATGTTGAGGCTCCCACATTTTCTAGACAGTCGGCTCACAGATGGCGGTGAGGTTGTCAGCCTTACGCGCCGGCCGTCCTTTACCCCCCATGAAGATCCCCAGTACTCATTTCTGTTAGAGGCTGAGTCGACTCCAGGGCCATAGTGCGGCTGGAAGAATTAGATCAGTTGAAAATTCCAATAAGCTCATCGGGGGTCGAAACCGCGACATTCCGGCTTGTAGCATAGTGTCTCAATCAACTACGCTACCGCCCCCCCCCCAGTCCAAAAGAAAAACAGGAATACTGAAATTTAAATCACTGGATGTGCCCCATGTCAAATGTTAACAGAATCTGATGCTCCTGCTCATTTCCCGTCGCGTCCTCTGAAAGCAGGCAACTTTACAGGGCTACACCAAGTCACATCCCAGCAGCTGGTGGTCTGTATACTTACCGCTCTCAGCCCAGCTTCGTCACCAGTAGTTGCAGATGGCTGCGACACCACACACTTGCCCAGACCCGCGGGATAGCTCAGTCGGTATAGCGACGGGCTGGAAGACCGGGGTTCGATTCCTGGCAGTGGTAATTTTTTTATCTAGCTTCCAGACTGGTTCTGAGGCGCACCCAGTCCCCCATCCAATGGGTACCAGAGGCCCTTTTCCCCGAGGTAAAGCGGTCGGAGTGTAAAGCTGACTACTCCCATCTAGTGCCGAGGTCAATAGTGGCGCTATACCTCCACTCCCCCATGTCTTCAAGGCGTGATGTTTAATTTATTGAACACAAAGACAACTTTACATTAAGTATAAATTAAACTTGAATGGGCACTTCCTCGGCAGTGCCAGGGTATCTCAGAGTACTACGTGTAGGCAAACTTACACAAGAGAAAACCAGTTCCCAGTGGCGCACGAACAACGCGATCATGTTGAAAACGAGACCCATTAACTTTGTAATGATGACGTAACGGCCTACGTCACTACAATGCGATGACGCGTGTTCTGATCAGAGTCTTCAACAGGCGTCGCTGCAAGTGCGGGGAGAAAGCGTTGACGTGCGTCTGCTTCAGTCTTCCTAACGGGCCTAAGTTGCCTGGCTTTGTCTCTGAGGACGGATGTGATCCAGTTTCCGAAACACTGCCTTCTTCCGGAAAACCGGACAAGGGACAAACCGCCAAACCCAGCAATGCAGTGTACCACCGTCAGAGCCCCTTTAGAACCGGGCGTGTACTGCCGAGTGTAGACCCCGTAGTGAGGAGGTGAGGATGGCACGCGGCGAACACTGGTACAGACCGTCAGTAAACGGAGGTGTTTTTGTCTGATTTCAGCCGGGCATGATCACAGCCACAGTCACCAGCACCACGATCATGAAGAGGAGGCGCATGACGTGCTGTTCAGCAACCTGACAGATCACCACGACCATGACGACGAGTACCGCCGCCAGTAACAAGGCGTCCTTAATGACATGCGACGCCAGGACCGGTTCGCAGCCACCGTGAAGTCTGTACTGTTACTGGACTTGCAGGAGAGTGTGTGGCGGGTTCGCAGAACTTCCGTTTGTAGCGCACTTCCGTGTGAATATGTTGGAGATATTTGGAAACTGTACAAAGGTCTCCTCCCAATTCAGTTCCAAGCAGAATTCGAGCATCATCTCAAAATTTTTGTTACCCTTTGGGTTCACTGCATTTCCAGTAAAAAAGAAAAGTGGTTACTTATGCGTATTAACTCTTTGTGGCTTGTTTAACGACGCTGTCAGTAGCTAGGCTATAGGGTGCCAAATGTGAGGGTTACAGATCATTTGGACAGGGTTTTTAAGGAAGTGGCAGTGACCTACTCCAGTACAAACCCTCCATTTGCCTAGAGCGACTGAGAAAAACTACCAAAAAATCTGTCAGGACAGCTGGTGTTTGAGTTGACATTTGAACCTAGTACCTCCCGAATGCAAGTCTAGAGCGTTACCGCTGTGCTGACCCGCTCAAATGCATGTTAAGGGGAAAATTAGAGGATGAATACAGCTTGGGATAATGATTTATTTTTGTTACTTGTAACTCCTCGGATATTTAATAATCGTCATCATCATCGTTACTCGCAAAACAGCCCCTATTTGAACCACAGCCTTCCTTACAACATTCTGCCTGAGGGCATCCGGTTTCGCAACAGTATTTCTTTTTTATAAAGCAAGTTCGCCAGGCTTGTGTCCAACTCCCTCCCCCAACCGGACGGCCTCGTCCCCATATTTATGTTCCCCAGTGACAGGGTGTCCCTGTTATGCCCCCAGACATCGGGTTCCCTTTCCGTCGCCTTGGGCGGCTCGCAGGGCTACGGTGGAGGTATTCTAACCCGCCTCCACACCCGGGTTTGCACATTAATAGAAATGCATTCATTGCATATGGATGGAACTAAAAGAAACTCCGTGGTTTTAGACCGAGCGACCGCCGCTTGCCGGCGAAGTTAGTGCCAACTTTTGCTGATAGAGGGTGTCACGTGGTCAGCGCAACGGATCCCCACGGCAGTTAATCTCGGGTTTATAACTCATCTTCTCTAAAATACATTCTTCTTTTTTCTGAAGACTATAACCCTCCCCTCCCCCAAGTAGCTCCGTACAGAGGGATAAATTCGGAAATACACACTTATTTGAAATTTCTCGGCTCAAAGAGACAATAACACTCAAAGTAACATAAATGTAAAGCGTACTCAAGGTAAGCGGGTTCAAAGCCGGCGGAGGTCGTGGACTTTTTAAGGGCGGAAAAATTCAGTGAACAAGTCTTCCGGGAGGGACTTTAAGCAGTGGGTCCCGTGTCGTAGATTTACGGCACGTAAAAGATCCTCATGTCTCTAGGAGACCTCTGAGCAAAATTAGGCAACAATTTCCCGCCCAAGTAGTTTCCAATGCCTCTGGTAGATGGGGGAAATATCAGGTACCGACGGCCGACCTCGTTGGCTGAACGGGGCTGATGGCGCGCACCAGTACCGGTAGGGTATGGCGACAGTAGAAATTAAAGAGGGACGCACAATGGACCAATAACTGATCTAAGTGCATGGGGAACCCACTCCCTCTAATAATAATAAAAATAATAATAACATAAATGTACAGTATCTCTCCGGCTCTCTTGACTGAATTTTTCATGGTTTTCGTTAGGTCCTCAAAGGAAATTCCAGGATAGTATATCGACTACGACATGATCGTTTTCTTCCGAATCCATTCCAACTCGTCATCAATCTGTCGTCCTGTAATTAGACACTACGCAGTGCAGCTACTGACAGCCTGCATAACGAGCCGAACCTGCAATTCCCTCCTTCGTAAAGTTCGCAGTTTCATCATTTACTATACGAATTCTAATTAAATTGTTTTAGACAAATAATTTAATTATTTTTAATGTCCAATAAATATAACTGCATTAAAAATAAATGTGACAAATTCATACAAAATCGTGTTCAGGGGTTACCTGTGTTTTGGGTCTAGTGCTTCAAAATACGACAAGATGTGGTTGTTAGTGTTTGCCAGCTCTTGCCAAAATGTCAATAATTTCTCGCTCTATAATTTTCCCTTCAACAAGTACATCATTAATTTATATCAGCCACTTCAACTCGACTGATTGTGTTTACGTTGTGGTTCGGGCTGAATAAAACTCCGTGTGTTAAGCATAACACTACTTCAGAAACAGAAGAATGTACTATGAGTTCACAGTAGTCGCCGGACTCCCTGGGGACCGGGAACCAAGAATGACTGTGCTGGCGAGGCCCAGCAGCAATTTACCCGACCCGACGAACACAACAGTGGTTACTCGTGAGCAAGTTACCCGGACTAGAATTCCGATAACTGTATTGCCTGCAGGCTTTCGTGTATTTCTTACGGAAGAAAATGTTTCTTTGGTGATGGCAACTATGTTTCTGTCTAGAGGAGATAATAGTTATTCAAGATAAGACTAAGTTAACTAGTCCCCGTACATTCCAGTTTAGTTCCTATACATAAAACTATTTTACCTTTGAAATTTCAATAAAAATTCGCATTTTATTCACAGATATGTAATAACTTGTGATATAATTAGAGGATGTAATAAATACATGGGATATACGTGACGATGCAGACCGTGTGCATATCTGAGAGTAAATAAGAACATATATATATATACTGTATAAATACATCATCTTGGATGCTTGGTGGATGTCACTTTATTTTACTGAAATAGCGTACTTGGTTGAGGTAGTATGCTACAAGCCGGAAAGTCGCGGGTTCCATTCCCGATGACATCACTGGATTTTTCAATTAACCTAACCTTCCAGCCGCACTATGGCCCTGGGATCGACTCAGGCTCTAACAGAAATGAGTACCGGGAATCTTCTTGGAATATTTTTGGGGGTAACGGGCGACCGGCGCGTAAGGCTGACAACCTCACCGCCATCTGTGAGCCGACTGTCTAGAGAAAATGTAGGAACCTCGACGTCTCACAAGCCTATGGGCCTTCACAGCCTGTTACAGAGACACCTGAACTGGAGATTCAGAGTGAGGCTGCAACCAAGTGCAGAGTTTGTAAGTTTATGCAGACTCATGTGGCCTGGAAGTCAGTTGAGCAGTGGCATGACACCTGGAGGGGGAAACCGAAATTAATATGAGAGAAGCCTATCCCAGCTCAGCATGGGCCACCACGCAGCCTACGTCTGCAAAGCAGGGCGTAACAGTTCTCCCGCTGAACAGAAATAACACGCGCATCAGTGTAAAAACGGTTGTGTTCCAAACTGGGTTATGCTATGAGTTTAGATTTGATTTTGATTTTTAATACAGATCTATAATTTGAGAAGAGGGTGCTGAGGAGAATATTTGGACCGAAGAGAGATGAAGTGACTGGAGGTTGGAGAAAACTGCACAATGAGGAGCTTCATAACTTGTACTCTTCGCCAAATATAATTAGAATGATCAAGTCAAGGAGGATGACGTGGGCAGGTCATGTAGCGCGAATGGGGGAGACGAGGAATGCATACAGGATATTAGTGGGAAAGCCAGAAGGAAAGAGACCACTTGGAAGACCAAGATGTAGGTGGGTGAACAATATTAGAATGGATCTTAGAGAGATAGAATGGGATGGTGTGGATTGGACTGATCTGTAGCAGGATAGGGACCAGTGGAGGCTCTTGTGAACACGGTAATGAACCTTCGGATTCCATAAAATGCTGGGAAATTCTGGAATAGCTGCAGAATTGGCAGCTCCTCAAGAAGGGCTCAGTTTCATGGAGTTACTTCGTTTTCTAACCAAGAAAACTCAAGCAAAAATTTACAGTCATGGGTGAGCAAAGTACTGTCGGCATGCCTGATGAGGCCTTCGCAATTAAACGTGTGTCTGAAGCATTCACACGGCAAAGTCCCAATCAGCCGTTACCGACCGCCGGATCTGAAAATCTCACGGTGTCTGGGACGTGACATCGTGCAGACTGGACGAATATTGCCGACGTTTTGGAAGTCACGCCAACTAAATATTCAGGATCGAAGAGAATAAGTGAAGCAACCATCGGTAGCAGGCTGTTCCGAAACGTCGGTACTACACGGCGTCATATTCCAGCGCTACTTAGAGGAATCCTGTCCCATTGAAACTTGCGCAAGTTCCGCATGGAATGCCCTCGGATTGAACCCAGGTTTCAACAGTTATAGATGCGACAAGACAGTTTTCTTTTATTTTGCAGCTTCACATGTGAAGGGGCGTCCGCAGGAAAGTTACTCAGCAAATTTATTTTTCTGATTGGAACTGAACAGCAGCGACTCACAGTACAAATTTAATAAACACGCATCACAGATTTCTGAAGTTCATTTAACTAGACTGGCAAGTAAAATGTTCCTTAACTTAACTACAAGAAGCTCTGGGAAGAAATAGTCGCTTAAAGAAAACGATGCGTCCAACAATTCTTCTATTGTTGCGTGTGTATTCGCTGCAGCGGTAAGGTTTTACCGAGCCGTTGCCTAGCAACGATAAGGGAATACAAATACAGACACACAGACTGATGGGAGGGATTTATGAAGTTTCATAAAGATTCAAGCATTCAGAAGTTATAGGGGGGATATACAGACACACAGAGAGCATGGATATCTCATAAACCTACTATTTTTTTTTTTCAAAATGAGGGAAGTAGACTAAAAATGAAACGGGATTGGCACAATTTAATAAATTTACTGCAACCGCCCGACTAGACTTTACCTCCTGAACCAGCACATGTTTCTACGAAAACTCAATTTTGAATTTAATATAGCTGAAATGGAAGTAAACAAGCGAAAAAGAAACAGTCCGCAGTTGCTGTGACATCTGTCGGAGAGAACATTTACACCCACAGCGGCAACCAGACCGACACAGGAACAGGGTAGAATGGTCTCAGCGCGCCAGGTGAGGGGATAGCTTAACGTAGGTACAACATACCGAGTTTAATCGAAATTGGTCCCGTTGTTTAAGACTTTAAGTGACGTTAAAGCGTACGTCACACTTTGTGTGGGCAGATGTCCTGTGTACGCATGTCTGAATTTCCCACTGTGAACAGCTGTGCCGATCACAGCTGTCCCGCGGTCTTCGCCCGCTCGAACGCCAGGGTCGTGGGTTCGAATCCCAGTCGAGGCACGGATGTCTGTGTTGTCCTCTGGAGGTAGCGGCCTTGAAACGGGCTGATCCCCTGTCCGAGGGGTGCTACCGACTGTGTATATCATTACGACACTGAGAAAAGCGGCCAGGGCCCAACAAAGGGCTGTAGAGCCACCGATGATTGCACATGAGCACCGGTATATGTTAAAATGCAATCAAGTAGCTTTCCAATGTTGCCGTCCATAGACTGGTGACCAATCTGTGCACTTGAAACTTTGTCGTACGGGGAATTGATTACGTTATCGGGGGGGTGGGGACTAACTAAGGACCCGCAGACAGCGGAGCTCTTCTCACTCAACCAATCAAGATATTCCCCTCCCCACCAGAAGGTTTGTGTCCGCAAGAGCTCGCCATTAAGATCTGTCCAATCTTACTTTCCTGCCTACCCCCAGGGCTTCTAAGCGGGCTCTCTACTTCCGGTTTCACGTGCGGCTTGTATCTTACATGAAGCACACGAAGAAAACTAACGAAGATGCGCAATGTGCAGGCACATGGCGCGCCACACACACACACCAAGTGCAAACGGGACAAACGCACTGGCCTGCAGGCTCCGCTCCACATTCACGCGCCAGTGTCTCTGTACTTCACAAACATTATCAAAATTTTCCAGTTCCTCTTCAGGATTATCTTGCGTTGCTCGAACGGCAACCGTTCTCCCGCCATTTTATTTCGCCGTCCTGCCATTCGACAAGGTGGCTCTGGCATTCAAGTGACTAGCAGCATCTTTTGAGAGAATATCACACTACACACAGTACATTACATTTCGGCAAAGGCAAAGTTGTCGGTCACGGTAGCCGAGCGGTCAAAGGCATGCACTGTCTTCGCTCGCTCGGAAGCCGGGATCGTGGGTTCGAATCCCACTCGGGGCATGGATGTTTGTGTGCGTTTTTCTGTGTTTGTGTACAGGTAGAGGCCTTGCGATGAGCTGATCACCCGCCCAAGGAGTCCTACCGAACGTGTAAGATCTAGAAAAACCGAAGTGAACGGAGAAGTTCATGGAGGTAGGCCTAGGCCCACTGGGGCTGTAGCGCCAAGGGGGGAAAGAAGTTGTCCTTGTGCTTAACTAATCAAGCACTACACCCTGAAGGCGTGGATATATAGATCCATATTTTCTTGACTTCGCCACTAGTTGGAGGTGAGTGGTTAGTTTCACGTCCCAGCCGCTTTAGCCC